TTTTTCTTCTTTATCATTTCCATCACTACCAACCAACGTTTCACAATTATTTTCACTTAAGTTTTTCACAACCGAATTTTCTTTGACTGTATCTATATTATCTTAGTAGTACTATCCAAGAATGTTTTTTTTATCCAAGTCATTTTCTTTAACAAAATTTGAAGAATGTTCTAATTCTCCTTGGATATCTTTGGCTAATTTCTCAGATGTTTCATTAGTAGAGCCTATTTCACATAGTTCTTGGGGCTTAACGAAGGCTTCATATTTATTCTTTTCAGGTGCGTTAGGTTTAACGATTCTATCCTCTATTTCTGCAGATTTTTGATCATGGATAGGTAATTCAGGTTCTTCTTTTTTGATACTAGTCTTATTCTGATAACAGGGTCCAATGTTATCTTCGTTATCACTACAATCTGCAATGACAAGTTTCTAATAATCACTGGATGTCTTATATTCGTCTACTTCTGCTCCGGTATCGTCGCAAAGGCTATCACCAAGAACATTCGATTCGTGGTTAATACCTACTGGTTTTTGGTAATAGACGAGTGCTTTAGGTTGGTTCTTTTCAACTTTAATTTTATCTTCATGACTGTCTTTTTCCACAAGTTCGTTTCTAGATAGGGTTCATCATTATTACAATTGCCATCATCCTCTAAAGGTACATCCAAATGCCTGAACTCTTCCATTTGAACCAACATAGCCTGGGTCCAATATCCTTTATTCATTGGATTATTATTGCTATTTCTTAGATTGCTTCCATTTTCAAAATTCGGGGCTTGTGGAACACTTCTATTATCATTTGCTTGTCAAACCACATTTGGGTACTCTCTTGCGAAGTAACCTAGTTGTTGACATAAGAAACAGATTGGTCCACAGCCATTTCGTTCCCTATGGTTCTTATTTACTACAGGACGGCTATTATCATTACTACTATTATTAATATTGTCTTTAACTGCTGTCATTACATCCTTTAACAAAAAGACTATTTGATTCACAGTATTTTGAGTTGACATATTAGACTGTTGACTCATCATGGTTTGTTGGGGTTGCAATGATGCTGACAGTTGTACTGAGAACGGAGGTGACAATATTTGTTGTTGTGGTACCCACGATTGTTGAGAATATACTTGCTGAGGCCAAGAATCTGCTATAGTATTATAAATCGCTGCTGTTCCATAGAGAGCTAATCCTCGTGTAAAAGTCATTTCATAATTTCTGGCCTAATCTATAGCTTCTTGTAATGTTTTTGACATAAACAGTCCTACAGCTAAAGAGAGATCAGGGTGTAATTCTTGTATAAACATCTGCGCCTTTACTATTTTAGAATATTAACTTCTGACTTTCATTACATGTCAAAATAATGCCAACATGTCAGTCACATATTGATCTACCGTTTCTCCAACACATTGTTAACAATTTAGCAACTTCATATTCCATTGAGTTATTAATACTAAAGTGCAAAACTTGGACCAAAATTGATACACGAAGCTTTGATTAAAGGTACGTTTATTATCCCAATATCAAATTCTTGGTTTCTCATTTCTTTGATCCATCTACCAAATGCAGCAAGGCTTGACAAATAAGCACTAACAATAGCTAACCTTCTTGCTCTCACAATATTATTAGCCTCAAAAGCTCTATCGACAGCTTT